GATGTCATTTGTATGATTACCTCCATGTGTAACTCAAAAACCCTGAGCTACTTATCCTCTTGCTTGCTCTAAGCCTCACCTTTGTGACATGCCCTATGTTTTTTCTTCATCCCTTTTTGGAATCATTAGCTCTTATGGTCTATTTACTGTTTTTCTGCCAGCTTTTGGTTTGCACTCTGTGGTGTACTTCATCTCTGTCTTCCAGTCTGGAATATACTTAACCTCCACTGAGGTTCTGGCTTGCTGTGCTTTTAAACTCTTCATTGTTGATGGTTCTTTGAACTCCAACCCTCTGACAGATTTTCCAGATCCTCCCTTGGTACTTCATAAATCTTAATCCTCATGAGGTCCAATTCAGCATCCAGATTGTTGGTTTTCTCTCAACCACCCGATGTGGTTTTATTGCACTGATCTTCAGTGTGCGGACTTTTGTGCTGTATGAGATTGCTCAGGTGAAAGATGCAAGGTACCCAGATGTCTTTGTAAAGGTTGAGGTGAGAGGAATAAAAGTACTTCTCCCCTTAGCCTGGCATTTTTCATACCTTCAGGAAGACGCAGGACAGGGTTTTTCCATTCCTGTGCGGTTCCCTTTTGGTCCAATGGGTGATGTAAGAGCAGGGTATATGGAGCATTTTCTTTATAGATTAATAAACAAAGCCATGTCCAACTATTATTTTTTAGAAGGCAAAATTGTCATTTTCATCACTTTCAGCTATTATCAGTATGAAGGCCAGCCTTTCTTAACTGGGGTTTTGGGAAAAATTGTGATTTTTAAAAAATGTTTTTTTAACTTCACATGCTGTGCAGTGCTAACTCTTGCAGTGGTGGAAATATTTTATACTCAGCAGCTGTGGGCCTGCTGCTTTGCTGTTGTTGTAAACATTGTAAAATGTAGATTGTGTAGGCTAGAGGTGAATTGTATTGTGAATTTTCCTATTTGCCGTCTTTTTTATGCAGGGGTTCCCTGAGACCTGAACATTATTTCAAGGGTTCCTTCAGGGTACAAAGGTTGAGGAAGGCTGGCGTAGGCCATTCAGTAGAGGATCAATCTTGGAATATTTACAACAATATTTGAAAATTGTGGATAAATTATTTCTGGGATGGGCAGTTGGAGATCTCATATTGGTCCACATACCCATTTTTGCAGGATCCACATCTTCCTGTCTCAGAATGTGGTGCTGAAATTCAGTGGCATGAATACACGATACATACTTATCCACTATGTTATTCTTTTTTAGGCAAGCAACATTATATAAAGTGCAAAAAAGAAGCAGAGGTAGGAGAGAGAGTTGGATATGTCTGGAGAAATATTACATAAATTTGAACGCAATTGAAAGGGTTACTTAAGTGTATATGGTAAAACAGGAAGAGATAGGATCAAGAAAGAATGGGCACTGAATGAATGTAGACTGAATACAAAAGTGACTGGCCAACTGAAAGACATAGGTTTAAGTGGTTTGGTCATACAGAGAGAATGAATGAGGATAAAATTGCAAAACAGTTATATGAAGGAAGAGTGAATAGATTGAGAGGAAGGGGAAGGCTGTGGATGCCCTGTTTGGAAGGAGCAGATAAAATCCTCCCCAAGAGAGACCTAAGTTTAAAGGCAATATATGAATCAGTCAATGATGGTATGCTAAGCAGGGCTAAAATGGGACATCTCTGACATGTCACAATGGCCAACAGAAAGGACATTCT